TTGTGTCGTTGTTTTTTTTTTGGGGGGGGGGGGGGGGGTAATCTTGACCATTTAGACCCCCTTCCCAACTCTAAACACTGATTACTAAGCTAATCATGCATGGCACTAGCTTTTACTAATCACAAGATCTTGTGATGCAATTATAATTCAGCCTACTAGTAGTAATCCACAGTCAGGATTTCCCCATCAAGTAGATGAAAGTAGGTTGTTTATTGCCACCACAGCAGGAATGATACCCAAGGATTTTTTCATAATATTTAAATAGGGGGCAGGTTATGCAGTGTGCACAGGTGATGCGGTTTATTTATTTTGACCCTCACATTCTATAATCAATTGTATTAAATGACTTTGTTTCCAAAAATCTTACTGCCCTTTTATCTCCAAAAGCATTGTCTGAACTTGGGCCAGATACAATATGTAAAAGAAGGTCTTGTCCTAAAAGTCTTCTATGTGCAGTTAAACCTTTTTATTTATTATTCCTTTTTTTCCTCTGTCACTAGTGCTTACTCCTGACCTTCTCTGTACATAGGATCATGTTCCTATTTTTATACCCATTCAAGCAGATTTCTCACTGTGGCAATAAAATCTTAGATCAAACATTGCGTTAATGTAATTATGATTTCAGCAGATAGAATATCACGACATTTAATTGTGACTTGGATAGATGTTATCTTCTTCACTGTAAAATGTGAATGTAAAACTGCTTTCATTACTGCATATTGAGCTTCAACCATTTCATTTACAAGTAACTGGAAACTGGATGGACCCGTTTTTAAGAGCACCGAGACAAATGTAAATTATTACATTTACAAACTATTCATTTAGTTACATTTCATTTACTGGGAAATAAATGGACTTGATGGGAAAGGCAGCTTGCTTAACGCAGGTGGCTGATTTCATTTTTTTCTCTCCGAGTAAAAAAAAAAAATCTGTTTAACTAGACTCCGTTCTTCCACAGAATATTTACATTGTATTTAATTTCAGCCCTAGAGGGAAGCTAATACAAATAAATGTGTTAACACTGACTTGTTAGGAAGTTCTGAATATATTATCATGGTGAAGATGCTCTTGTGTGAAATTACAAATAAAGAAAATCTCTAATGTCTAAAGGCAGCGCAGGACCCTTGTGCTATTGGTCCTGGCTTCCTATCCTCTCCCCAACAATTCTATCTTCCCTCCAGAACACTTATTTCACCTTCTTACCTGAGCATTGCACAGCACACTGTATTTAAGATTATTAAGAGCCGCTCCCATTAGATCCACGGATCTCCCGATCTAGAGAAATGTTATCCTTTTAAAAATCTTTTAAAATTATTTTAAATTTCATTAATCACATGATCCTTTTTCTATATACATATACTGCCATTAATTCATTTTAGGAATTATCATACAATAATTTTAACTATAATGCCAATGTTTTTACTCATCAGTAACGGCGGTTTCCCGTCAGACAGGTGAGAGCGCATAGTGGAAATACCGGCAATTGGTCTAACACTGCCACGTTACCTTTCCCAGTGATTGGTTAACGATTAATTTAAATAGAGCAGGATATTGAAGAGTTCATTCAGGTTCTGATGAAAGGGGCGTGCCCCTGAAACGCGTAGACCGTTCAAACTCACAGGGGCAGAGGACATTTGATCGGTTTCATTCTGTGAGACTCCCGCTGCCAGTGATTCCCATTGCATCATCTTACATGCTTGTATCGATCGATCCTTCTTGTGAGTACATTTTCAGCTGTGTTGCCGTTTGAATAAATGATCTTTTACACGATGGAGGCGCTCTGTTTTTCTTTGTATTTCCCAGCACACTGTATTATACCAGGAAACCCCATTAAGTAAAAACCTGCCAGTAAAGACTTATGGGACTGTCATGCTTATTCTCACTTCACTACTTAGTCACTGACCTGGGAAAAGCAAACTAGCAGAGAAGTGTCAGGACCTGATATGCACATATTGCTTCCAGGTCAATGACTCACAAAGAGTGAGTTCAAAGTGTGGAAAGATTACATATCTTTTTCCAGAAGGCCAACATAGAGGATTTTTGAATTAAAGCTCAACTTATAAACTTATAACCCAATTCCTTCATTATACAATTTACTGTAAAAACCTGGTCAGGTTCAAAGATTTTCCTACATTTTTTAGTGTATCAAATTTTCTGTGTTCAACTCTAACATGCATTAGTCCACTCAGTGGCAGAACTTCCAGGGTCACAGAGGTCGCAGCTGAGAACGGGCCCTGGAGTTCTGCCACTTAGAGGGGGCCAGGACAGGATGAAGGGGCCCCTGGTAACCACTGATTACCAGGATATTTAATATCCCGGTAACCGCTAATGTCGGTATCAGGTCTCTTCCTCTTGTCCAGGCCCTGCGTACTTCACGCTGCACCCCTCACCTTGTTCCGGGCGCAGCGTGAAGTATGATCCAGCCGGCACAGCAGCCAATGAGTGGGAAGTGGGGTTATCCCTGCTCCCTCATCACACAGAACTGCTGCTGAATATAGAGCTGCCTGGGTATGAGAGGCCTGCTGCAGACATGAAGGGGGAGATATAGGGAGCTGGGAATATGAAGGGGGCATGGGAGAGGAGAGTGTGGGGTCAGGGAAAGGAAAGCTGGGGACGTGAAGTGGAAGATGGGGGTCAGCTGGGGACATGGAAGAGGAGAGTGTGGGGTCAGAGAGAGGAGAGCTGGGGCCATGAAGGTGGAGATAATGGGTAGCTGGGGACATGAAGGAGGAGATGATGGGGAGCTGGGGACATGAAGGGGGAGGTACTGGGGTTACTGTGCTCACTCAAATCATCCAGATGCTGGAAAGTTTGTAAATAAGCTCACTGGCAAGGCAGCTCCCAAACAAAACAGTTGGGTAACCAGAAGTGACTCAATGTTCAGAAATAAGGGGTGCCGAACCAAAAGATGGAAGAATTCAAAAGTGCCTTTAACTGTGCACAACTCAGTGAAACTCAGTGAAACTTAATGATGATTTGATTAAACTTACAATATAATATAACTAAATGGATCTCTATATGATTTGATGAAAAGACCTCCTGAGTTTGCAATTAGGAGCAGCATGAGATGTCTGCATACTCAATACAAAGACATGCTATGTAATACTAGGAAGGGAGAAGAAGGGTGAAGAAAGAATTAATCATTGTATTTGTATTTCATTGGAATATGGTTGCCTTAATGCAACACACATTAACATGCAACATAAAGCACTGCAAGGGGCAGCAAAAATGAGATACCTGCCTTAGTGAATAATATCAGTATAAGAGAGTATTATTTGTGAAAACTTATATGTACTCATATGTAGAATCACTTGGTAAAAGTTCAGTCACCTTAAGCGTAAATAAACGGTAACAAACAATGTTTCCTTTTTGCTTTCTTTTGGTCAGTTGAACATTTAGTTGAAAGTGTTTTGTTATATCTGTTTAATAGGTGCAAAAAATACCTATTGATCATGTCAGAAATTCATCACTGGACTACTGAATGATTCCATTCACACTGATCATTTTGTAGCACGTGTTCTGCTGAAAAATCGCTCAAACATAAAGCTTAATGTAGCTCAAGGTAGCTCTTCCAATGCATTTCAATGGAGATGTTCACATCTTGAAGCTCAATGTCGCCTGTAGCTTGTAGCTGAAGCTTGTAGCTTCTTGGCCCCAGTAGACTTCAGTGGTGAAGCTCAATGTCACTCATTAGCGGCATTTTGGCACTACAAAAGTGTCACTTTTGCCCAGAAATTAAATCCAGGAACACTCTCTATGGAAGCAGGAAACATGAAAAGGAATTAGGTCACAACAAAGACCGCTTTTAATTGGATACTGCCCAATGTAGCAGCTACAAAGTCCCTGTGGTAAAATGCCAAATAAAGCGCTATGCAGCACTTCAAAATGTGCACTGTAGCTCAAAGAAGCTTGATGTAGCTCAATGTCGCTGACATTCGCTCTGCTCTGCTTATTTTGTTGTAGCTCAGTGTGAATGGGGTCTTATGTGATGGGAGAGTGAGCGGGTCTGAGTAGTTTGGCAAGAGAAAACTGGGCATGGCTGACAACACTCACTCCACAAAAATGCTGTGTGTTATCAGTCTATAACAGGACATAGGATCCAAGAGCATTTCTTGCAGATCAACAGGTATTTTTTTTTTTGCAAGGACTTTAAATAGATACAAATTGTACATGTATTAAATAGAGGTACTGCATATTTTTTGTTATCTTGCCCTGACATACACTTTAATTAATGTTCACAAGATTCTATGAAACTGTTTAGAAAACTTTCTAGCACTTTCCAAGTATCAAATTGTGTCCATGTGCAGTCAAGTTGAATCTAATGGCAGTTATGTTATGCAGTTAATAAGTGCATGTATGAAATAACACATAATGACTTTGTAAAAAGCATTAATATCATTTGTACTCTGAAGATAAATCTATTTTATTCAACTAATTTTCCTCTAGGGGTTTGGCAGCCCATCTGGTGAATTTTGGCTGGGGAACGAGTTTATATTTGCAATTACAAGCCAAAGGCAGTACTCTCTGAGAGTTGACTTAATGGACTGGGAAGGCAATCAAGCACACGCACAGTATGACAGATTCCACATAGGAAATGAGAAACAGAATTACAGGTAAGGAATGGGATGTCATTGAGCTATAGATCTAGGAACCAAAGCTGCCCACAGGGTTAATTTAAAACTTTGAAAGGACTGATAAAATAAGAGTCCAAGGGAGAAGTGAGACAGACAATTTATGGGCTCGTAAAAAGCCTATGACATGATTCAGCAAATGCAGCAAGTGTAAAATAGAACCTTCTAAGATGGGAATAGGTTATGCACTGGAGCCTTGATATTCCAATGGAATTATGATTACATTTAAAGCTGCTTTTAGACTCAACTACAAATGGTAGCTTAAGTGGTATGAATCTGTTGTACCTAAGTGCTTCTGGATTTCAAATTTTGCCCTATGCCCCATCCAGTGTCAGACTTTGACACTGGATGTGTTTCAGTTAATGGTTAAGGAAGTGTAGGTCCATCCTAAGTTAAAATTGAAGCAAGCTATTTCTGTCTGTTTGTGCCGGTTTTGATTTTTCTGTTTTTACTTTTTACATTAAATTACACCCTTGTCATCACAGGGGCAATAGCTTACAGATTTTAAGAGAGAGAGAGAGAATTGATTTTCAAGATTCACCTTCCATTGACTTCAATGGACTTTGCATTAAAGTTTGCAATATGCAGACTTTTTGAAGAGTTCACCGAACCTCCCACAAAAAAAAAAAGACACGCTTGGCTTATCACTAGTCACCAGTATTGCCTGTGGTCTCCCTGCAGGTGACCCTTCCCCAATTACTGAATGGTCTTGGGAGAGACAGAGCTTTAGCATCCTTATATCAGAGCTTCCAACATGATCAATAGTTGTGACACAGTAGTGACATTGCCAAAGCTCACTCCAATTCTCCTAGCAGTCAGAGGCAGCTGTGCCGTAGATCACACACTGCAAATATACAACTATGAGGCTGTAGATACAGTTGTAGGCTCCCTCACATACCAGGAGGTGCACTGATATTTTTCAGTAGGAATTCCAGAAAAATGGTACAATGTTATTGTACGGCTTAGGCACCATTAACATTTTTAAATTTTCCCAATGTTTCAAATCTTAACTTTTTGAGTTTAGTTCCACTTTAATATGTACATATTGAGCATACCAAACACAAGGCATTCAGTACTGCAACAGCAGAGACTGTGCTGGAATCTGTTGTTTCCCTGTAGAAACTTTTGGCTTAATGCAGCAAAAGAACTGTAGGGCTAGTTATGTGCAAGAGGTGTTTAAATGAGTCAGAAGGCTCACTAAAGTTCAGGAAACATGAAATTATCCCTCCTTTCAGTTGCTTGTTGGTCTGCGCAGTTAGAAAGGAAAGCTGTAAATTTTAAGACATCATGCTTGCTCCAATAGAACATTCTACCATTAGGTTTTCCTAAAATAATTGTACCATACAAGGGGCAGCACTTAGATAACAGCGTGTTATCATTCAAGTGTGCCTTGGGCAGCACAGTGTCTTAATACAGCTCTGGTAATACAACCCTGACACTCACGGGGTAAAATAGCTTGTTTCTCCTTATATTTCATTGACCTGTGTAGCCTGACTTCTCTATTAAACAAAGCTTACTCCTCACGTCAAACACAGCTAAATCATTTGGAGTCTGAAATGATCAAGCAGCAGCCAGGTTTCCCAATCCTTTATTTAACACAACCTTCCTTATCTGATGATCAGTTCTCTTTCTTGAAGTATCAAGTATCGGTCACTTGAAAACGAATAAACCATTTCCAAGTTGAAGGGTTTACATCTCCACTTTAATAACGTCTACTTTAAAGACAATCAATTCTTAAGCCCTTTATAATACAAAATGTCTTTGCCCCATGAAAAGGTTACTATAGGGACCCAAATCTCTAGGCATCTATGAAGAAGCAATTTTTTTTCTCATGCTGCAATCTCTAAAGCTTTCAAAAATGACAGCTTAAGAGCTCCTGGCACGTCAGAAACCTGGATCTGAATTTTAAAATACCTACCCCTTTGAACTGCAATTGCTTCCTTAGCCTGTATCTAAGAAACTATTCTGAAGAATCTTTTGGAGTCACTGGGGCAAACAAGAACATTGAAAAGCTGACGGCCTTGTGAACGGGGCAGCATTGCTTCTTTATTTCACACCGATGTCACTGTCACTTGTGATAGAGCTGGCAGCAAAGAGAATATTTATCTCTCTTTCACAGCTCACAGTAAATGCAGGTCATGTTTGGCATGAAACACACATTAGTGTAGAGGAGTGTAGTCTGTGAACTTATGGTTAATTAAACCTTAGAGTGGATCTGAACTCAAAAAGTGAAAGTTTGCTATGTTATCGGGAACTCCTAGAAATGTTGATTGTACCTAGAAAATCTACATTTTATGTGGCATTTCTCCATAAATAGAAACGTTAACTTCCAATGCCTAGGAATTCCTATGCCTACAGCCTCATAGATGTATATGCTATGCGGGTTGTGCGTTGTGAAGAGGTTGATGCCCTGACGACATCCATAAAGGGTCAGAGAAAAAAGGAGAGCACCAGCTGCCAGGAGAATAATGAATAAGGTAAGTATAGCTGTCTATTCTGTTCCCCTAGACAAAATTGGAATTTAAAGGATATGTGCACTTTAAAGCAATGTGCCCTTATGCTTTTTGCCCTCTAACCCTGACCTAAACAATTCTACTCATCCCCTCCATGGATATGTACTTATCAAGATCCGACAGGCATGGTTCCTCTATCGTTTACATCCAGCACCGCAATGCTCCCTCTGCTGGCTGCAACTGCACATTACAGTCTAATAGACTTCTATAAGGCTATCTCCCAACCAGAAGAGGGAGACTTGCAGTGCATGATGTCAAGAAACAGCAGAGCAGTGACCCTCACATCTCGGTAAGTATCGATCTGCGTAGGGTGGTGGTGGGATTGTTTAGGTCATGGCAGGGGAGGCAAAAATAATAAGTGCACTTTGCGGTTCAGCCTTAATGATTTTGCAATTAATTCAATGCTGAATTAAATGGTTTATTTTATATATAAGGTGATGGTCAGTGGTAAAAATTATTAGATGAGGAAGCATGTTTACTCTGAACAACTACTGACTATAATGAGAAAGCAAGTGGACATTAAAACTGAAATTATTGCACTTCATGAGCAAATGTAGCTGAAACAGAGGGGGTGATTTACTAACCTAAACACACGCACGCACCAGGTGCGTGTGATTTTTACACAGCAAAGCGTATTTATCAACCAAAAAGTCTCTATAAGCATATTTCCACTAATGCCATATATGGAAAAATCATGCACATGATGCATATATAATGCTGCTTCACAGTTTAGACAAAAATGGTTAGCTCATGCATTTACATTCCTGCATTTATCAACGCAAGCAACACAATGTAGAGCTAATTTACACAACATCACCTTGCAATTCAGGGCAGGGCTTTGCACAACACACCTGCTGGGTGTGTACACACTACAAAGGTGTTTAGATTCCACCCATAGATCATGCTGGGAGGGAACACACTACAGAGGTGTATACACGTTCGTGGTGTGTTTATAAGGTTAGTAAATCAACCCCAGAGTGTTGCTTAAAGTGACACTAAACTCAGGAATTACATAATTAAAATGCATTCAAGTACCATTTACTATTAACAAAAATGTATCTTATTTGTGTATTACTTGGCTGTAGATCCTCCAATCATCTCTGAATTGGTGCTAACACTGTCCTTCCTTCTGGAGGGTGGCTACTTTTGTTCCCCATGGTCCCTGTGTGTGTTGCAAAGTAGCCACCTCTCCAAGTTCATTCCTGCGATGAACTGCAATCTCAATAAAAATTAGTAAACTAAACATGAGATTGTAGTCCTTCACAGGAGTGAGCTTGGAGCGGTGGCTACTTTACAACACACACAGGGACCATGGGGAACAAAAGTAGCCCCCCTCCTGAAGGAAGAACAGTGTCAGCACCAATTCAGAGATGATTTGAGGATCTACAGCTGAGTGATAAATAAATAGGATACATGTTTGTTAATAGTTAAGGTACTCAAATTAATTTTTTAGGATTTAATTCCTGGATGGGCTTTCAGGGCACATTCACACCCGCCTGGTCTGCTGTGGTGTGTTCAAGAGACATGTTAATGTGTGTTGCATTAAGGCAGCCCTTTCATTTAAATTGGCTCTCTAATGCACCACAATGGACTAAAAACTGTGGATGCAGAATTTTCGGCAGTGAAATGTACAGTATACTCCAATACAGGTGCATTCGGGGTATCATTTGGAATTAATTGCACTAATGCATGTAAGGGGTGTTATTGGCCATTAATTTCCTACTGAAACTGGAAAATTGTATTGGTTGCGCATTCACACAGTTCTTTCATTGAATTCCAGTTATGAAGCACATTGTTGGCTAACTTACATAAATTACATTGGCTGATGGTCCTTTACCCAATTGAGAAAATGATGTTGAGACTTCCTAAGTTCCAAAAAGTTATGTAAAACTAACATGTTACATTCTCTGTATGTTGACACAGATGCTTAGCAACACATATAAATACAAAATCACATATAAATACCAATTCTCTTGTGGAACTTTTTTCCTTCTAGTTAATCTATACCAATAAACCATGCATCTGTTTATGTTGGAACACTTACTGTAATATTTTTATTATTTTATATGTATTTGTTTTATCTTCTAATGGGCTTAAAGTCAAAATAACAGTTAAAATTTGGAAAGGGTTTGCATAAACAGTTTCCTTAAACTTATCACAATAAACCCCATTCCATAACTGCTTTGCAGAAGGTTACAAAGTTGATCCTGAAAAATGTTTTTGATGAACTCACGCTGTTTGTTGAACCATTTTTCCTGCTATTCGGATTCACTCACCGTGACTTGTGTTTTGTTATTAGAAGAATATAAGGGTTATGACTCTAAATTGCTATTAAATCTTAAATTAAGTGCTTTGTTTTTACCGGGAGAATGTTTGTAGAGGAAACTCTGAGTTGGAGCATAAAAAGGAAGATATTTTATAATATCTCTTTTGTATTAGGAATTCAGACCGCTTAGGGCTTCTGTTTTC